TCCAGTTTAATGCAGTTGAACAGAACAAAAAATAAAAAAACAAAAATAAATATTAATTTGTTAATTAAAACATAAATTTAATAATACAATAAGATTAATAAACCTCCGCGATACGTTTTGGTAAAAATACGAATAAACCATCCTACAAATCAACAACGGATGGCCATGTAGATGATGTAATCCGGTTCACAGACTTAAATCACATATAATTTATTCACTTCTAATTCAGATATGTTCTTCTTCGGGGCAAATTGATGCTGCTCTATAACTGATTTAAACGTGACATACTAGCTTGAGTTGCTTTATAACGTGAGGGACNCCTCTTTTATAGGAATTGGGTCAGAAGTGCTACGTTTTTTTTCATTGCTATTTTTTGTTGATTTAAATACCAAACCCATTATTTACTACTATTATTGCAGTACTTTTGTATGCTCGAGTCTCACAACAATTGTTTCTCCTCGAAAATCTACCGGATCACCGTCCTGATCCAATATAGTAAGTGTTATATTATCGATTTTATTTGTATTGATAGGTAGGAAAATGACGTGTTGAGGTTCAATGTTAATAGTATAACCCGGTTCGACTTGTGGAGCAAATTCGTAGAGCGTATGCACCAGACGTGTATTGTAGTAGGCTGCTGTTGTAATATTACACTCTATATGTATAGTTACAACTTTTATAATCTGCACCGGTAAATCTGAAGCGTGTTCTCGACCGGCCTCCAAAGTTTTACTACTGAATCCCAACATTTTTCCTATAGAATTCAACTTTTTGAAATTGATTCGGTATTTACTGTTTATAATACATCTCAATGTATTATTATTGGGTTTAATAGAAATAGATCCTTTATCTAAGAAACTCTTCAAATGGTCCTCAATGTCGCTTATCTCATACGATCCTACGGGGATCTCAATAACTTTATCATCATCATCGTAGTAAAACTTATTCGCACCCTCAACAACGTTCGGTATTGAATTGTACGTGTGCAACCCAATTAACTCCAAAGCGTAATTATCTTTGGAATTTAATTCTATGGGTGGAAAAAAATCGGCAGACAATATAGGACCTGTACCAGTTAACGTAAACGTGGTGACATGTTTCTCTAACAGCAGGTTGAATGAAACTAATCGTTTAAGGTGTTCTTAAGTATTATTTATTAAAAATTCTAAACATAAATGACCACAAATGATTTGATCGTAAGTTTGTAACGCTTCGTGGTTATAAAAAATGCATACATTCTCATTAACATTTAAATAATTTATCAATTCAATAGGTGGTTTCAAATTTCCAAATGAATCAAAGTAGTCCACTCGATTTCCACGTTTTACATAGGCTACCCAGTGCGTACCCGATCCTAACTTGGAATCTAAATTAACGACTGCGCACTCGTTCTTTCTGGGAGAATTCGGTAAAGTGTCTCTTAAGAATACACCCCTAAAACCATGTATATTTTTAGCTATCTCGGAAATGCCATAATTAGAAAGTGGTCGGAGAGCCAATTAGTTTTTTCTCTATTGTCTGTTCAATCCCGTTCCTTGTTTGTACGGTTTAAGGTAGAGGCCGTTACCGTCTTTGTTGTTTTTGCCTACCAAATGGGTTATTGCTTCCTCGACAATTTTATTGTGACGTTTTGATTCGTTCAATTGATGCCGAGAGGCTTTTATCTTGTTGACAGCGGTTGCTATACCGGCCGCACCACCTGCTAAACTGCCAACAGCGCTCAAGCCGGCGAATAGTGGAATTAAGGGTAAAAAACCGCCGGTAGTTTTAGGAATTGGAAGTGTTCTGGTAGCTGCCTTGACCACATCTAATGCTAATTTCATCTTCTTCTTATTACTCTCCTTACTCTTCTTCTTCTTATTTTTCTTCTTATCAATACTTCCTTTTACATTTTTTATAGAGGTTTCCCGAAATAGTTCCAATCTATTTCCACCATGTTTCTTATTTTTTCTATCATTGCATTTCTTCTTGAGACCCATGCCCAATTTACGTTTGATTTTCATAGCATTGGTGACGACCATGACGGCCGCATTTTCACCGAAACTCGCGTCGTTCGATTTAACTCGATCCCAAGCTCGCTCCTCTAGCGCTCGGTCCGCTTCGTGTCTACTCGATAGATCTTTGTTCTATGCGTAAAATATGTCGTGAGACTTGCAAGCTGAATCGAGGGGATTAATGCCAGGATCGACTCGTGCCAATCGTTTTGCCAACTTCGTACCCGGTCCGCAATACGAATACGATGGAATGTGTAGTTCTACAGGTAATTTGTTGATCAGAGAATTAAGAATACCTCCACTTCGTTTGAGTGATGGCATTGAAATGATATATATTATAGTTTGTACTTATATAAATATTTACGTAAACGCGTAAAGTAAACTAGTTGACATGCGTCTCGTGAAACAGAAACATACTGTCCAGATTATAGAGAAGACACGGCGATAATTTTCCCGATAGCATTCGTTGTTTAATATGCGGACCATCGAATTGTGGTAAAACCAACCTAATCCTTACACTGCTCTTCGATGAAAAGGGTCTCAGATACGAAAACGTGTATGTCTACTCGAAATCCTTATACCAACCGAAATATGAACTTTTGGAAAATGTTATGCGCACCGTACCAACCGTCAATTATTCGTAATATTCCGTTAGTATGGAGCGAAAGTTCAAAAAATTCCCTGAATTCGGAAAACAATACAAAGAATTTATGCAAGAATATCGGCAGTTAGGTCACATGCGTAAGATAGTTAATCCAACAATAGCGAGCCCTTGTTATTACTTACCACATCATGGCGTTATTAACGAGAATAGCACAACAACTAGATTACGGGTGGTGTTTCACGCTTCTTGTCCAACTACCACGGGATACTCGTTTAATGATATCCAAATGGTTGGACCCACAATACAGCTCGACCTATTCAGCGCGCTCATAAGATATCGAAAGTACACGTACGTAATAGCCGCGGACATCAGAAAAATGTATCGTGCATGCTTAATGAATTCGGAGCAAACATCGCTGCAACGTATTCTATGGCGTGATTCTGAAGAATTGCCTATTGACACTTACGAACTGTTAACCGTAACGTACGGCACGGCATCCGCGAGCTACCTAGCAACACGGTGCCTAAAGCAACTGAGCATTGAATGCTCAGATCCGGTAATATCAGAAGTAATCGGGAACCACTTCTATGTAGACGATTTACTTACAGGGGCGGATTCAATAACAAAGCTTTCTCATATTATTGGTAAGGTTAAATCTAAATTACTTGAAGGCGGTTTTGAATTAGCTAAATGGACGTCAAATAACCTCCAAATTATTCGCGAGCTTACTTTAACATCTACGATAGACCGGGTCGATTTAGGCAAATACGAAAACACTCGAACTTTGGGATTATTGTGGGATCCTACAAGCGATGAATTTAGATATCAAATAAGTGAAGGTACCAAATATAATAAGATCAATAAACGTACAATTCTGTAAGATATTGCACAAGTGTTCGATCCACTTGGGTTATTATGTCCGGTAACAATAAATGCAAAAATTATTTTCAAGAAATTTGGCAAGCAGGGTTGAATTGGGATGAAGCGCTACCAAATCATATCCATACAAGCTGGGTTAAATTTCGACAACAATTACCTTATCTAAATTCAATTCGTGTTCCGCGTTACATATCACTTCAATACTCAAGGTCATTAGAATTACACGGATTTTCGGACGCTTCAACGAAAACGTACGAAGCGTGCATTTACCTTCGTTCTTGTGGGGTCGACGGAGACGTTATAAGTCGTTTGATTTGTGCAAAATCCAGAGTTGCACCATTTATTAAGACTCTTTTCTCGTCGATGTTAATTATCAGAAAATTGTACGACTTCTTCAATATGATAATGTTTATTAACAATTTTATTAATTACAATCTTATATTGACTTTTTCATATTATTTATATTTTTCGTTAATCATTTGTTTTTTTATAAAAATACAGTACTCGTAGCCCACTTTTTATAATTAGTTTCTTTTTTTAATATTTTGATTCACAACAACTTGCCCCCGGTGAAATCAGCCTTTTGATGGTAGAAATCTACTTTTCTGACATCCAATAGGCTGATTCTCATCACAAGTAAGCATTTGCCCAACTCAAGGTTTTATGGTCTCTTAATTAAAACATTGGGCAAATAATAACATGATAAATTCGTCTAATATTTAAGTCACAAAACAATAACTCTTACATCTCAACANAGTGCAAGTGTAAAACTAGAACTAACACTATACCTACAACTAGAATCATTCGGGTTTAGCCGTCTTTATTCGGGTTTAGCCGTCTTTAGAGACGTGCGGCTAAACCCAAATGATTCTAGTTCTAGGTGTAGTGTTAGTTGTACATAATAAAAGTGCTGGTGTAAATCTAGAACTAACACTAATGTTTCTAGTTCTAGGTCTAATGTTAGTGTTAATTATTTGTTATTTTATTAATCATATATTTTTTATTATATGTATTTACCCTCATGTTATCAAGTTATCCGTTGCACGGCGTAAAAACTGATTCGTCGTCAACGCGACATTCGTCGTCAACGCGATAACAAACAAAACATGAATATATAAATATAATTATTCACAACTCGAACGCACGTCTTTCAATGTTTGGCTGTTGCAAACAAATAAAAATAAGGTATTTTTCACGAAGGAAGTTTTTCAACCAGTGCAACCCAGAGAAACCCAGATATTATTTAAACATAAATTGGTCCTTCGAGCCGGATACTGGAATTGGTATTTTTCGCAAGATTTCGTCGTGATTTTGTCGACATCAACTTCGTAGAACAGTGTGAAAAATTATTTTGGTGTCCAAGAGTCCTCAAGTTCTCAAAAATCTTCAACGAGCCCTGCAAAATCATCCAGGACGCTGAATTTTGCCAGACGCCGCCATACTTGCAGCCAATAGGAAGTCGGGAGTCACGTCATAGGGTCGTAAGTTTTTATTGTTCAATCTGAAACAAGATCGCGTTAAAAATGAGTCAATTAGAAACATTAATTAAAAAACGAGGCATTATTAAGGGAAAGCTTACGAATTTTACTAAATTTGTCGCGAAATTTGAAATTACTATACGAGATACAGGCGTTGATCATGACTTGTCTGTTGAGTTGGAACAACGTTACGATAGGGCCTCTAACTTTATTGATGAGTTCGAGGCAATTCAGGGGGAGATTGAATTATTATGCGTTGATGGCGAAGCGCAATCCGCGGAAAGAGAATCGTTTGAAGCGGCATTTTACTCCAACTTCTCGAAAGCTAAGCGTATGCTTTCTAATAGAACTATTTGCACTGATTCTTCATTCGTTGTCGGCCCCGCACCAGAACAGAATGTACGTTTCCCGGTTATAGACCTACCAAAATTTGATGGCAATTACAATATGTGGTTAGAGTTTCGCGAAATATTCGAGTCGCTAATACACGAAAATGCGGCAATTAATGGCGTACAAAAATTCCATTATTTATTATCTGCGTTAAAGAGCGATGCTCGCCAAGTAATATCAAGTCTAGAAATTACAAATGCCAATTATGACGTCGCGTGGGGTTTAATTCGTGCCCGTTTCGATAATCCACGAGTACTCATTCAAAACCATGTACAATTCTTATTTGAAACGGAAAAGGTAAACGAAAATTCTCAGTCTATCCGAAAATTCATAGATCACATTCGAAAACATATGAGGGCGTTGGCATCATTGAATGAGCCCACAAATAATTGGGACACGTTGTTGATCTACCTCGCGACAACAAAATTAGATCCCAACTCTAATAGAGAGTGGGAACAACGCAAGGCAACAATAAAGGATCCGAAACTAACCGATTTATTCGATGTCTTAAGGGCACGCGCGGATCTATTAGATACGCTTAATCGAGGATCTAATCAACGGTCGTTAGAGCGGCTAAAATCAAACCGCGAAAAATCATTTTTAGTAGCTAGACAATCAAACATAAAAAATTGTACATACTGCAAGGGTGATCATTATATACAAGAGTGCTCCACTTTCGGGAAACTTGCCGTTCAGGGTCGGATCGAACAAGTTAAAAGGATGAAATTATGTCTAAATTGTCTCCGATCAGGTCATTTCCTTAATCAATGCCGGTCAAGTTCATGCAAGGTTTGCAAGGCGCGACATCACACTCTTTTACATTTGGAGAACAATCGTTCGGGTTCCCCAACACAAGCATCAACATCTAATGTCAGTCTCACGTCTCAAACTCTCACACATTCTAACGTCTTACTCTCAACAGTCATAATGCATTCATTTGATAAATACAACAAAAAACATTCTCTTCGCGCACTTCTCGATCCGGGCAGTCAAAGCAGCTTTATTACAACAGAAGCTCGGCGAAAGTTGTCATTAGCTGAAACTGAAATAAATGTTAACGTAGAGAGTATTAATAAAAATCAATTAACGATTAGCGGTTCATGTTCATTTAAAATTCATTCAAATTGTTCAGATTTCTCTTTAAGAGTTGATTGTCTAATAATTGATGGCATCGCAAACAATTTACCAAACTTTATAGTAGATGCGAATGCTTTGAACATTCCCGGTAACCTTCGCTTGGCGGATCCCTCCTTCAATCAACCCGGCAAGATAGACATGTTATTAGGAGCAGATTATTTTTGGCAAATATTACGTGTCGGGCAGGTTAAACTAAACAGCGGACCGATCATGCAGAATACCAGGTTGGGCTGGATAATTTCAGGCCCGGTAGCTACTATCGCGTCACATTTAACTTATTCCGTGTTTTATAATCAAACAAATAGCGATCATATCGTAGAATTAAATAAACAATTAGAACGTTTCTGGAAGATTGAAACAGTGGAAGGTCCACCTCCTCAGTCAAAAAATAATGTATTATGCGAAGAGCATTTTCAAAAAACTACACAGCGTGCAGTTGATGGCAAGTTCATAGTAAAAATTCCCTTCAAAGACGACATCAATAAATTAGGAGAATCGTTCAAATGCGCGGTAAATAGATTTTTTAGTATGGAGCGAAAGTTCAAAAAATTCCCTGAATTCGGAAAACAATATAAAGAATTTATGCAGGAATATCGGCAGTTAGGTCACATGCGTAAGATAGTTAATCCAACAATAGCGAGCCCCTGTTATTACTTACCACATCATGGCGTTATTAACGAGAATAGCACAACAACTAGATTACGGGTGGTGTTTGACGCTTCTTGTCCAACTACCACGGGATACTCGTTTAATGATATCCAAATGGTTGGACCCACAATACAGCTCGACCTATTCAGCGCGCTCATAAGATATCGAAAGTACACGTACGTAATAGCCGCGGACATCAGAAAAATGTATCGTGCATGCTTAATGAATTCGGAGCAAACATCGCTGCAACGTATTCTATGGCGTGATTCTGAAGAATTGCCTATTGACACTTACGAACTGTTAACCGTAACGTACGGCACGGCATCCGCGAGCTACCTAGCAACACGGTGCCTAAAGCAACTGAGCATTGAATGCTCAGATCNGCAAATATTCGTAGGTAATCGTGTCACAAAAATATTGGAGAGAACAAATTCAAATGAATGGAGATACGTCTCTACAAAAGACAACCCGGCCGATCCTATTTCGCGCGGGGTTAATGTTCGGGAATTATCAAATTTAGAAAAGTATTGGTTGGGACCGGCTTGGTTAATACAAAACGAAAACATGTGGCCTGTTCGGAAATTTCAGACAGAAAATCTTCCTGAAAAAAGAGTTGTATTAAATTTAACCACTAATATCAATCAGTTAATTCCATTTTCAAAGTTTTCGTCTTTAATAAAGTTACAAAGAATTGTTGCCTTCGTATTCAGATTCAAAAATAATTGTAAAGGAAAATTAAGACTTAAAGGTCCTCTAAATGCTGATGAGTTAAGAGTTGCTTTGGAATATTTAGTTAGATGTAGTCAAAGGGAAACATTTCCTGAAGAATTACAATTATTAGAGCGATAAATGTTTACCAAAGAAAAACAGATTAACAAATTTGAGTGCATTTTTAGATGAAAACGGGATAATTCGAGTAGGCGAACGATTAAGTAACTCGGATTATGCATTTGACAAGAAATTTCCAATAATAATATCAGGCAAACATACATTAACCCGTTTAATTTTCGAAGCAGAACATAAATTTCTTTTTCACGCCGGGCCCCAACAATTATTAGCATCAATACGGGAACGGTTTTGGCCAATCGGTGGACGAAGCATCGCAAAGCACATTGCGCGTAAATGTATAACTTGTTGTCGAGTAAACCCAAAATTCACACAACCCCGTATGGGTAACTTACCTAAAAATCGAATAACACCAGCACCTCCCTTTCATACCACAGGAGTGGACTACGCAGGTCCATTTCTTCTAAAAAATAAAAGGGGTAGAGGGGCAAAGACAAGCAAATGCTACATTTGTTTATTCGTATGTTTTGTGACACGTGCAATTCATTTAGAATTGGTATCTGAATTAACTTTTGAGGCATTTTTATCCGCACTCCGTCGTTTCGCAGCAAGAAGGGGTAAACCGCAGAAAATGTACTCTGACAACGGCACTAATTTTGTGGGCGCTAATAGAGAGTTAGAGGAATTAAGCAAATTCCTAATTAATAATTCCAACGAACTAACAGACATGATTAATGCCTGTAATATAAATTGGTCGTTTATTCCTCCCAATTCTCCCCATTTTGGAGGAATCTGGGAGGCGGGGGTTAAATCCGTAAAGTTTCATTTAAGGCGGGTAGCTAGTAATGCCTCGTTTACATTCGAAGATTTTTATACCTTGCTGGTTCAGATTGAAGCAATTCTTAATTCACGACCCCTTACACCGTTATCATCCGATCCTAATGACTTGGCTACTTTAACTCCGGCCCATTTCTTGATTGGAAAACAACTCATCTCATCACCAGATCCAGATTTAAGTCACGTGGGTGAAAATAGACTATCGCATTTTCAACACATTCAACGGGTTCAACAGCATTTTTGGGCTCGATGGTCCCGAGAATACCTCGCAGAATTACAGCGTCGACACAAATGGACGAAGAGCGACTCTGACCTAAAAATTGGACAATTAGTTCTGATTAGGGAAGATAACTTACCTACCTTGTTTTGGAAGACTGGAAGAATTGTTGAACTCCATAAAGGAACTGACAACATTGCAAGAGTAGCATCGGTTCGAACTTCCAGCGGAATTATAAAAAGAGCCGTTGTGAAACTTTGCTATTTACCGGTGGTTTGAAATTCGAGATTAAAAAAAAAAATGTAATTCATATTTTTTCCTTATTTATCTTTTGTTTTCATTGAAGGAACCCTTTCAAGACGGGGGGCATGTTAATTATTTGTTATTTTATTAATTATATATTTTTTATTATATGTATTTACCCTCACGTTATCAAATTATCCGTTGCACGTCGTAAAAATTGATTCGTCGTCAACGCGACATTCGTCGTCAACGCGATAACAAACAAAAACAAGAACACATAAAAATAATTATTCACAACTCGAACGCACGTCTTTTAATGTTTGGCTGTTGCAAACAAATAAAAATAAGGTATTTTTCACCGAAAGAAGTTTTTTAACCAGTGCAACCTAGAGAAACCCAGATATTATTTAAACACAGATCGACCGGGAGGTATATTGTGTATATTCTCTAACGGATAATTGGACGTGTCAAAAAATTCAATATTTTCTTTTATATCCTCATATACATTGGGAGTAGTAATTTCTAGGATTAGGGAATCAGTATCGGTGTATAAAAGTGTTATGTTATTTCCATATTTAACTTTTAAGTAATCATAGAAGAAGCTGTACATTACGGTTTTCGAAAGCTCTAATATACTGAAACCCACATACAGCGGTTTGCAATAACGAACTTCCGCGACGTTCAATTGAACGGCTATCAAATTATCGCAAAATATTTTCGAAGATTTAAAATTTGGTTTAGCTATTAGGGCTTCCACGCCCGGTTTCTTATGACGACATTCCCAGTGGGTAACTAGTCTTATATCCACTCGCTTTTCCACATTTTCCATTGTCTTACCGTATACGATGTTATTCATTGCTTTGTAATGATTTTTTTCAAATTCATTCTTAGCTTTCGCACGTTTATCGGAATTGAAATCGATGTAGCTCCGCATCCAGTTGGATTGTTTAAATTCTAATACTCTGTAAATCTTCGTTAGTTTCAATCCGAACTTGAGACACTGCTTTAGATTCACGTAATGAATGATGTATTTTGTTTTATTTTCCAAATTTGCTATTAACTTTGTATTTTTTGAACCTGGGGGTACAATCCGTTCTGGACAAAATGGTAAATCGTTGTGTTCATCATGTATTGCTTCTGGATACTCTAAATCTACTTCGAACACGTAACCCTTTTCTTAATCGTCTTCTGTATTGTAAATATTTAACTTCGAATCTCCCCATCTGATAGCCATCGAAATCCTCCCGTCGGTAATATTCGTCTCATTGCGTGTCCATACAAATTCGTAGCGTCGAGATACAAAATATAAGATGGGTCTTTGGTTTCATCAAATTCCATCATTAATTTATTGTTAGCCTTCGCACTGCGTTTAGTGCACATACTTAATCCACCGCGAATACCATTTTTAAAGAAGTGTAACGTGTCTATGTCCGTTAATAATTCTAATTTTACCCCTGTCATTCGTAATAATGCATCCCAACCGAAGCCCGGCGCTGTGAAGTAATGACATGGATCTAAAGAGTAATACTTCATCGAGATGGTTCGGAAATTCTCAAACACGTCCGCCAAAAGTAAAGCGTCAGACGTTAAATAAATATCGCTATATTCCACACCGTTTGTGCACGACAATAATTTTCTTCGGTTATACTATCGTCGCATAAAGGATTGTAAAAACTATTTCGATCTGGCAGAGCGGTAAGATTCAGCTTTTCGAATGAATCTATAAAGGAATACGGAAAAACTTCTTTCTGTCGTATAAGTCGAAACTGTTCTTCGTTCCTAAAATATTTTCTGATTTGAACGCATTGGTTGTCTTCCAAAAATGAACCCAACTTCTCTAGCGATAAAGCCATAAACCTAAATGAATCCACAAATCTCAATTTCATATGAACCTGCCTTAGCCCTTGCTGTCAATGTTTTCTCCTACGATAATTTTTTTCGAAAATGATATGTACTTTTCTTTATTCTGTGCTATAACGTCCAGGTCTTCTTCTTTTAATGCCATATCTTTCACAAACATATGACAATCGTAGTTCGAAATATTGTGAAAAAATATCGGTATGAACTTTGGTAATTGATAATTAAGTTCTCTATACAACCCAGTTAGGTGATCATGATCGCATACTTTATTACCTTATTTTATTTTGAGCGAACAAATGTGACAGATATCCTGCATCTCATGTATTAATCTATCTATAGGTGGTAATGGGAGCATTTCTTTTGATTGACTTAAATAATTTTTGTATGTATTCAGAACGTCATGTTCCAACTTGCTCATGAAAATTTGAGCAGCATTACATCCGCGATATATTTCAAACTTCGACAATGATTCATCATAAAAACATTTTATATAATATGCAAATGCATAAGGTTCGTGTTTGAAACATTTGACGGAGTATGAATTATCATCGTTAAGTTCAGTTGCTTCCGCATCGGCGATCGGTTTTTGTAATGCTTCAAAATCTGCATACACTACAAACGGTATTTTTAATTGTCGTTCAAAATTTTCGAACTGTAATATATTTTCCTTTTCTTCATTTCCATATTTATTTATTTTCAAATTTGTTGTTGGTAAAATTGCCCTTACCTTGCTGCAATCGTCACTTTGATGACGAATACGTTTATTTTCTGACGTAAAGAAAACCAAGCATCCATCGCAAATATACTTTTCATGACCATTCTGCGATGCTTGCGATGATAGTAATCGAGACAGATTTTTTATCCAACAATTGTGACTATTTCCGGAATCATTTGTAACCAATAATAAATTTATATGTCTTACTTCTTTTTGCCGACATATATACATTGTAATTATGTCATAATTCATAATACCGTCTTTAAAATGCTCATTCATTCCATATACATTAATAGATAGTTTGTTCTGCTTTTCAAATACAGGTATATCACGTAATTTAACTGAAAAAACAATATTTGAATAGTCTAAGCCGCAGTCCAGGTAATTCGGATACGAAGATGTCCTCTGTGGTAAACCGTTCGGTTCATGTAGTGCGGATGTTACAGCCCATGCAAAACATGCATCATCCGCGTTTTGTATATTTATCACAGCATGCTTTGTTTTTATTTGCAACGGTAAATCGATGTAATTGGATGCTCTTATAGGATTATATTTGTTTAAATTTAACTCCATATAGAGGATTTGCATTAAAGTCCATCATAAATAAAAGATTGAAACATTTATTTTTTAATGCATATGTTATGTTGCTTACCTGAATCTCGTTCCTAGAATTCTGACATTTTTGATGAAATTTCATCAATAAATTCCTTATATATATTATACAGATACGACACTAATTATACTACCTTATTTTTCGTATTGAATGATTTTATGTCACAGTCTTCCTTTGATTGTAAAAAATACAAACCAAAACATTCCATATTTAATTTTACATTTCGGTGAATATCGATTGCGCTTAGTATCAGATTTAGTACTTTTTCTCGAATTCTATGTGAAAATTCATCCCAATCCACAAAAAAACCTTCAGCACTTATTCGATAACTGACGATTTTATCGCCGAATGCTCCAGCTATTCTCTCCACTCCGTCATCGATTATAACAAAAGCGTTACGCTTATGTGCGTTGCTTCGTAAATGTGCAGAGTAACATTGTCTATTTACATAATCATCGCAAGCCTCACATTTTACTGCTTTTGGAATTTGCGGTGCGTCAAGCTTGATTCTCTTGCCAATACAAGATAATCGTTGATGTCTTTTTAAATTGTCAACTCGAGTAAAACTTTTTCCACAATCCTCACACACGACCATTTTACAATTTAATGTTGTACACTTCTACTAGTTATGAAAGTACTACGTCAATACCACATTTCGCAGGCGTTTATAAACCCTCACCGCTCCTGAAACTTATTGGGAGGAGGAGGATGCATCGAGTGCGTTTGTATCCATGTATATTTTTAAACTCCGTATACCTTTGCATAATAAATTAAAAAAATATATATCTCGCAAGTAGATCATGACTCACTTACTAGTATCAAGTTAATTGACCTCCTCCTCGAACGTGCCCCCCCAAAAAAAATTTGCCGATTTAAGAACCTCCTCGCATATTTTAAAGCCCCATAATATCCCGCAGGTAGGTCATGACTCACTTATTTGTATACCTACATGTCTCAAAACCGTATACCTTTCTGTGTATAATAAGTTAAAAGATATATTGAAGACATGTTCTAACAGTTAGAACAATTAGATTTTTTTAAATAAAACAACTTTTTTAATATGTTATCTGCCCCTTATTTTAGTAGTATAGTTATCTTCTCCGCCTTCAAATCATATGTTTTGTTTAAACGTTTCTTTTGTGCATCAACGTTTCCCAAGTATTTTACGATAAGCATTCTCAGTAAATAAGTAAGTAAGTTCCAAGGGGTTATGAGACTAGTTCTTGTGGTATTAGTGATGGTGGTGAAAATGAAGATAATAAAGAATGAGCAATTGAATCTTTACCACAGAATTAAGTAAAATCTTGTTTGTGATAGTAGTTATTGTTGTCATTATGGCTGTTGAATCAAGTTTATTTTTAATTCAATGTGATTTTTATAGAGAGTTGGAGCATATTTACTTTCATCATTTGAAAAGGTTTATAAGAGAAGACAATCTTGCTGCAGTCCAGACCATTTTTGACAAAATAATGCTTCCTGATCGATTATTATCATATGCAAATTTACCATTAATCTCTGTTAAGAAATAATCGAGACCGGCGCGGGAAAAATCTGAGACGCTTATAGAAAGTTACTTAAAAACCCGGGTGTTAAAAAAACTGTCAAAAAAAGGAAAAGTCTTACTGTTCTTGTAGAATAAGTAGAAGTATCTCTTCGAATAGAAAATAAAAGCCGAAGTGCTTCTATCGAACGTGTGTATCTATTAACACGATTGAAACTACTTTTTAACGAAAATTACACGGAACGATTTATTACACTTTTTTGATGTCAACAACAACAACTCGATAGAACAACTGAATAACAATAACTAAAAAAATACGGAACGGCCGACTAATCATAAATTATAAAAACTTTGAACATTACCACCTTGCCGAATGGAAACAGAAAATTAAAAAAAAAAAATATACAATAATTTGAAAATTGACCCTAACTGAAATGATTACAAACTAAATAAGAAAAAATGGCTGCAGGAAAACAAACTTTTACATAAATAAAATAATGAAATAATTAGAAAGAAATTAACAATAAAAGACTGAATTAAATGAAACTGAATGAATAACTAGAAAAAATAACTAGAATTGAATAACATTACTAATTTGTACAATCTGGCAAAATGCATAACTTAGTGAACGGACGAACAAGCGTTGAATTTGCGGTTTTGAGCGTTGCGACGCGAGCGTGACCATCGGCACCGGAATGAATTTCAAGAATTCTTGCTAGAGACCATTTCGCCGGAGGTAATCTTTCATCTCGGATGAGTACAAGCTGTCCAATTTGAGGAAGATTTCGTTGACTGAACCACTTCGTAGCGTTCTGAATAGATTGTAGATAAAACCTTTCCCAAATCTTCCAGAAATCTTCGACCATACGACGAAGAAGCTGCCATCGAGAGAGTTTCGATATCTTTTCATCGAAGACGGACGGCTCCGGAACAACGGTGAGAGCGTTACCGATGAGAAAGTGAGCCGGAGTCAGAACATCAAAATTGTTCGGATCGTCAGATATTGAACAAAGAGGTCTTGAATTTAGCACGGCCTCAATTTGAATCAAAACGGTGTTGACTTCTTCATACGTAAGAAGTGTCGATCTGACAATTTTTCGAAGATGGCCTTTAACGGATTTTACTCCGGCCTCCCACTTTCCACCGAAATGTGGTGCTCCGGGAGGATTGAACTTCCATCGGGTGCCGTCGCCGCTCAAGAGACTAGCCATTTCTTTCCATTCTTTGGACGCTGCAGAAAACATGGAACGCAGCTCACGATCAGCTCCAACAAGATTCGTGCCACAGTCGCTGTAGAGGCATTCACTGATACCTCTGCTTCCGGAAAATCGCTTGTACGCAGCAAGAAATCCTGAAGTTGAATAATCTGTGGCCACTTCTAAATGGACGGCTGAAGTGGCTAAACAAACAAACAGAATAAGATAACCTTTATGCGTCTTACTACCACGTCCTCGAAGATGTTTCAAATGAAAAGGTCCGGCGTAATCAACACCGGTGTGTAGAAACGGGCGGGATGATATGACTCTTGAAGGCGGAAGTTGGCCCATGAACTGCTGGCTGATGACTGCTCGTTGTTTCGCACAAATCATACATCGATGAATGAACGAACGGACAGGTACTCGCTCTCCAACGATCCAGACATGGCGTCGGATTGAAGATAAAGTTAGTTGAGTTCCTCCATGCAACGTAGCTCGATGATGTTTGTCGATCAGAAGAATCGTAATTGGCGAATCTTTTGGAAGAATGATTGGATGCTTCTCATTTCAATCCAAATTTGAAAATCGAAGGCGCCCGGTCACTCGTAGAAAACCTTTACCGTCTATGAACGGAGAAAGTCGGAAAAGAGAACTTGAACGCGGCACTACACGGCCGTCCGTTAGAATTTGAATTTCGTCCGAGAAATGAAGTTGTTGACACTCGCGCACCCAGAACATTAAAGAGTCGTTCAGTTCATCAGGAGAAAGTATGTCTGAAAACTTTGAATTAGTCTTTACTTTATGAAAAAATCTCTTACACCAAGCTATGACTCGCAGAAGCTTGTTCAACGACGAATATTTCAACTTTAAATTCGAATTCTGCCGAAGATTCTTTGGCATCCGAATTGGGCCGAAGAGATGGCCATTCTGAGGGTGGTGAGCGAAGCCAAGACGGTCCATTCCACCATAACGTTTCGGCTTCAAGTTTCGTCACTGAAACTCCACGGGAAGACAAATCGGCCGGGTTTTCTTTCGTCGGAACGTAGCGCCAATGAACATGAGAAAGCTCCTGAATTTCTGTTACTCTATTCCGGACGAAATCTTTCCATCTTGAAGGATGACTGCAGATCCAAGAAAGTGCCACCGTAGAATCGCTCCATAGAAAAATTGGAACTTCGTTGAAATCTAGTGTTGCCCGAACGCGTTTTATCAACCGAACTAACAACACGGCGGCGCACCATTCAAGTCGCGGAATCGTTACGCGTTTAAGAGGTGCCACTTTCGTTTTAGAAAAAAGAAGAGAAACGCGAACATCATCAGCTCTTGAAACGCGAAGATACACTACCACACCAAAGGCACTAGTCGAAGCATCCGCGAACCCGTGCAATTCAATCGAAGAACAATCGCGAGTAATTCCAAGCCATCTCGGAATGCGAATTACCGGACACGTTTGAAAAGAGTTAGTGTATTCGTTCCATTGAAGAGAAAGGTCATGCGGAAGGATTTGGTCCCATTCGAGATTGCAAGTCCACAAATTTTGCATAAAAATCTTCGCAGTTACAATGATCGGAAAAAGCCACCCGAGGGGGTCGAATAAACGCGCAATGAATGATAGAACATTACGCTTAGTAAGTTCTCGGAAGTCAAAATCGTCATTATTGAAACAAAATAAAAAGTCATCGGTCGAATTGTTCCAAAGAATACCCAATGCGCGAGGGGAATTGTCATCTTGAACACGCAACGTTTCTGTATCGGATAGAAGGTCTGAAGGAACATATGCGAGCGCTTCTGAAACATTTGAAATCCACTTTCGCGCTAGGAAACCGCCCGCCGTTAAAACTCGATTTAATTGAAAGATTAATTCTTGAACTTCATCAATGTCATTAGCACCGGAAATGATATCGTCCACGTAAGCGTCGCGAAAAAGAGCAGAGGAACCGAGAGGCTGCTCTTCAACATGTTCTTCCGCTAACAGTCGAATACAACGAATTGCGAGATACGGCGCGCATGAAAGTCCGTACGTTACCGTTGTCAGGTCGTAACTTTGAAGAGGTTTCGAAGGATTTTCACGCCAGCCGATTCGTTGAAACTGCCAATCATCTTGATGAACGTCAATCTGACAATACATTTTCTCTAAGTCACACGCAAACGCGACGGGATGGCGTCTCCACCTTAGAATAACATCAACAAGTTCACTTTGAAGTTTCGGGCCTAAATGGTATTCGCGCATAAATTTGCTATACGCGGTCTTGAAGCTTTCATCCCGCGCGAATCTTAACTCGGAACGAGAAAAAGTCTTAACAGCGATCATATAAGAATTTCCCAATTCACGCGGAGACTTTCGAAATGGTAAACGAACAATAAAACGTCCAGAGCTGTCACGCGAATGTGAATTGACGAAATGTTTTTCACAATCAATTTCGTCGGTAGATAAACACGGCTTAGAACTTGATTCTTCTTCTATCGTCCAGAACTTTTGCATTAAATCCGCGAATTCACGATCTATCGAACACTGAAAACCATACGGGTTGAAGTTCGATTGTGATTGATTCGACAGTACGCCGGAAAGAATCCATCCAAACGCGGTTTGCTGGGCAATCAAAGAACCATCACTACTTCGTTTAACACCATTTTGAAGAATTTTAGAATATAAACTCACACCAAGAATCAATTCAATTCTTTTTGATGATGACATATCCGAATCGGCTAACGGTAAATTCAGTAGCTCAATCGGTAACTGAGCAGAATATTTTTGAGGTAAATAAGCGGTTAATTTCGGCAATATTAACGCTTCTTCGTTGAATGAAAGAAATGGATTGAATTGCGAACTTAATTGAACTGTAACAATTCCGTTTGAAATACTTGTACGTTGCGAACCAATTCCGGAAATAGGAATACTTGCTGATTTTCGCTGAAGTTGGAGCTGTTGTACAAGTGACTCGGTGATGAAAGAAACTTCGGATCCTTGATCAATAAGGGCTCGAACGATGATGGAATGTCCACGCGGTGATTCAATCCGTACTAAAGCTGTAGCCAACAGTACTGGAGCATGAATGTGGTGCGAATGTAAAAGATGATTCGATACGGTTAAGTCATTAGCGGTGATGCTCGGTTGTTCTTGTATGGGCGCGAAAACTGTTCCTGACTTTGAAGGTTCAACTGAAGATTGTATTCTAGTTGAAGTTGAGCGTCGTGGCGCGTCGTGAAGAGACGTATGGTGAGATTTGCGACAAACGCGACATCGTTTAGTGTTCGCGCGATATAGGATCGCGCGAACATTGTGGGGAGTGTTAAGTCAGGAATATAGGCAACCCCCTTTGCACCCCCGATAACTTGTCACTTTAAATATCACGATCGATATTGATCGATCTCTCTTCTCGGCCGTCCGTCGTGCGATATCGATCTATTCTTGACCTTCCGTTGTGCGATCGACATAAAAGGGATTAAAACCGGCGCTGAATCGTAATTCAAATAATATTTAATCAATTAAGGAATCAAGAGAAGTGATAATGAAATAAAAGATTGTAATTAATTTTAATTGTCTTACTCTAATTCTCCTTCTTTTACACACTTTTACACCCTTTTATGTCGATCGCACAACGGAAGGTGAAGAATAGATCGATATCGCACGACGGACGGCCGAGAAGAGAGATCGATCGATCAATATCGATCGTGATATTTAAAGTGACAAGTTATCGGGGGTACAAAGGGGGTTGCCTATATTCCTGACTTAACACTCCCCACAAAAAAAAATACAAAAATAATAATAATAGATAAAATTTTACAAAATTCCGAGAGAAACAATATTGTTTCTCTTTTATTATTAGGAAAGTATAAATTTTATAAGTTAAATATAACATTTTAAGATTTCAATTTTAGGTTGGCACCAATGGTAACGGACAAAGTTTCACCAGTGGTCGTTGGAATTGCCCGGTACTTGTTTTGATTTTTGCTACTCGTGGAATGCCGTCAGCCCCGGGAAATAGCTCTTCGATTCTGGCCAGGGTCCAAGAAAGCGGTGGTTTCTTATCATCCTTCACTATTACGAGATCCCCACATGAAGGAATTTTTGAAGGTGAATTCCATTTGTACCTCTTTTGTAAGGTAACCAAATATTCCGATTTCCACCGTTCCCAAAAATGTTGAACCATTTTTTGTAGGAGAGTCCACCGAGTTAATCGATTACTACCTGCGTGAAATCGGGATCTAAAACAGATGAATTTATAGGTTCCAAACACAAAAAATGTGCAGGGGTTAATGACTGTAAATCGTTGGGATCGTTCGATAATGCTGCAAGGGGCCTGGAATTGAGAACGGCTTCCATCTGTGTTAACACGGTGTAAACCTCCTCAAACGTAAGTTTCTGATCTCCAACCACTCGCAATAAATGATGTTTAACAGATTTAACCCCTGCTTCTGCGAAACCGTTAAAATGTGGAGCACCAGGTGGGTTAAATTTCCATTCCAACTCCAATTGAGCACCAGCCGCTTCTGCCATTTTCTGTAGATAATTGGACGCTCCGATAAAGTTTGTGCCCTGGTCGGAAATGATCAATGAACACTTGCCTCGTCTGGAAGTGAACCGTCGCAGGGCTGCTAAGAAAGCTTCCGTGGTGAGAGCTGAAACTAATTCTAAATGCATAGCCTTAGTAGCTAAACATATAAAAATACAAAAGTCTGATTTCACCGATCTAGCTCCGCGAGTTCGACTAATGATGGTGTAAATTAGACCTGCAAAATCCACTGCCACTTGGGAAAACGCTCGAAGTTGAGAAACCCTCATCGACGGTAGATCAGCCATCATGGGAGCATACGATTGGGGCTTGCAGCGGAAACATCTCACACATCGTGACAGAACGCGAAATATAACACTCCTAGAGTTGATGATCCAAAATTGTTGTGATACCAACGTTTGTAATGTTCTCTGGCCGGGATGTAAGTAACGTTTGTGTATGTCCTCCACCACGATTTCACTTAAACGACTATTTTTTGGTAATAACACCGGATGACGATGATCGAATGGTATTATCGTGTTTTTCAACCGACCGCCTACCCTTATCAATCCTTCACTGTCTAGGAAAGGAGCTAGCTCCAAAAGGGTTTTCAGGAAGTTTATTTGTTTGGATTTGACGGATCAGTTGAGCAAAGTTTTGTTTTTGAACATGATAAACAATTGAGTTCAATGCTTGCTGAAGATCAAATGGTGATAATGACGTAGTTGAACGTTTTTTCTTTCGACAGTGTGCTATGAAACGTTGAACATAAGCAACTATTCTTTGGATTTTCAGTATTGAGGAAAAATGATTCAGAAGAGTATCAATAAAATTCACTTCGAGTTCTGTATGATTAATGATGTAAATCTTTGATTAACATTAATGGTTTCTTGTGTTTCAGAATTTTGATTAAAAGGAGCAGGCCATTTATCTGGAGAGTTGATGAGCCAAGGAGGACCCATCCACCAGATAGAACACTGAATAAGTTGATGTGGGAAATGCCCACGGGAACCGGCATCTGCAAGGTTGCTTGATGAAGGAACATATCTCCAACAATTAGACGGTAATATATTCTGTATGTAAGTTACCCGATTGGCAACAAATGTCTTCCACCGAGAAGGTGGAGCGTAAATCCAAGATAAGGTGACTTGGGAGTCGGACCATGCTGTTATAGAATCTAATTTGATTATGGGACCTATTGCCTTCTTTATGTTTTGAAGGAGATTCACTAATAGGACGGCGCTACACAGTTCCAAGCGCGGAATCGATAATGATTTTAGCGGGGCTACCCGAGCTTTTGCGCAAATAAAAGATGATGTAATTAAATGGTTGTCATTCTGACATCGTAAATATGCCACAGCACAAAATCCCGCTTGGGAAGCATCACAGAAGAGGTGAAGCTGAATTGTTTTTGGGTTTTCAGTGATTATTTTTCGAGGTAAGTTCCAACGAGACAAGTGAACCAAGTCTAATTTAAATTTTTTCCAGTGATTTAGTAAAGAGGAGGGGGGCTTTTCATCCCATTTAATTTTTCAATTACCAAAGCTGCTGCATAAATCTCTTTGCTGAAGAGTGCATGGAGTTAAAAATCCAAGGGGATCATAAATCCTGGCGATTTGAGATAAAATGGCACGTTTTGTACAAGAATCAGGACCAGGAGCATAGGAATAGTGGAATTCGTCGGAAGTGGGATTCCATTGCAGTCCGAGAACCTTAATGTAGTTGTCCTGATCATAATCCAACGAAATTGGCAACGAGAGATCAGCGCTGGATACGGCTTGTAGAATCGGCTTACAATTACTCGCCCATTTCCCTAGTTCAAACGCTCCTTCTTTAAGTAAGGATATTAATTCTTGTTGTAAACTGACGGTTTCGGTGATTGATTGAGCTCCAGCGAGAATATCGTCGACATAGATATGATTACGTATTATCGCGACTGCCTTTGGATATTTAGATTGATATAGATTTGCCAATTCCAACAAAGTGCGCAAAGCCAAAAATGGAGACGAGGCCACCCCGTATGTTACTGTGTTTAAATAGTATTCCTTAAGTGGTTCTTCAGGATGAAAACGCCATAAAATTTTTTGATATATGCCGATACATCTGCTTTATATCGCAAGTGATTACGTAGTTAAAGCTTCTGAATGACAATAATATTTTTGTAATGTCCTGTTGTAGCTTTGGACCTATCAGGAGCTCTTGATTTAACGAAACACCGTTTGACGTTACAGAAGATGCATCGAAAACCACTCTCAACTTCGAAGAAGGATTATCTGTGCGAAACAGACCATGATGTGGTATATAATATGGATTTTTTGTTGGACAGCTGATTGGTAAGTCGACTGACATATGACCAGATTGTAAATAATCTCGCATGAACTTAATGTACTTTGATTGCAGGATAGGATCTCTTAACAAACGATGCTCCAATGACATGAAACGTTTTACAGCAGCATTATAAGAATCTCCCAGAATAGGGTTTCTATGTTTGAATGGCAATGAAACCATAAATCGACCATTCAAGGTACGCTTATAATTATTTTTAAAATGAATTTCGCATTTTTCTTCTTCAGGGTTTAGTTCAGATTCGTTGAAGACCTCCCAAAATCGTTGAATTGATTTATCCAATGCTGCATTGGTCGTCGATAAGCAGGCAAAATTAGAAGCGTAGGCATAAATTAATGATTTCCCCATTGTGATCCAACCAAAGACTGAATTGATTGCAACAGGTTCGTGAGGATGGCCAATGATACGGCCTTCAGTAAATATTTGGGGTACTAATTCAGCTCCCAATAATAGGTCAACGGATTGTAGGCCGGGAAATTCTTTTTTAGGTATGTTTAAGTGGTGTAAATGGGAGTATCGTGAAATGATAGATGAAAGTGATGGTTGATCGGAACATATGCTTTGAGTAATGATAGCTTGGAAGTTGAATGATGGAATGGATGAATGTATTGGTTGTACAGAACAGGTGACTGGCCCTTTTGTGCATAGTGACGTTATTGAATTTATTCCTTGAATCTCCAAATGAGATGTGGATCTTCGGGGAAGATGCAATTTCTTAAATAGAGGCGTGATGGCTCAGCGTGTTAGCTCTCGGGTTAACACGCAGACGTCCCGGGTTCAAACCCCGGTGAAAGGACGTTGAGTCGCCCCCGTCCTTCGGAGGGGACGTTAAGCCGTCGGTCCCGGCAACCAGTCGTCAATCTCTGGTTGTCGTTAGCAGCACGCATGTGTGTGAGGCTTGACTTTATAGGGACGAATGCGCGTGAGCGCTCTCTGACCCCACGCCCACGCTGATCGGACCTGCGCCAGGCCGTTGAGCGAGTCGTGCGCTCCGCCAGGTCGTTGAGTGAGCCGTGCGCTCCTCCGCCAGGACGTTGAGCTAGCCGTGCGCTCCGTCAGGCTGCGGCCGAGATGAAGTGTGGGTCGGGGGGTTGGGGCGGCGGTAACTCGTCATTGGCAACGAGTAAGCGGTATCGTCACCTAACGAGATACCTTCTCATACCACCTCAAGCCTCCAAGGGAGAATGCACAAGGGGCCCACTGGCGCCTAAGTGCGAGCGTAAAAATTACGCACTCCACGCTTACATACATACATGCAATTTCTTGGATAAGCGTTCCGAGATGAAATTAGACATGCTTCCGGAATCGATAGTGCTTTGACGGGATGTAACCTTCCAAATTGATCTTTAATGTGAACCATTGAGATGGGTAAAATGACATTGATATCGGTTTCTAATGTTGCGTCAGATTGTTTATGAAGTGACGTGCCGACGTGCACCGAAGAAGATGGTTGCTCTTTTAAATGGAGGAGAGTGTGATGTTTTTGACGACAGATACTACATCGATGAGTGGAGGCACAATTGTGGGTGTTATGATTTTTGTTCAAACAATTGCGGCATAAATTGTTCTCTTGAACTATTGATAATCTTTCAGATGCTGCCTTCGATTGAAAAGTAATACATCGATAAATAGGATGAGTTTCCGAACATAGTGGACATGGACGGGTTTCATTACCAGATGAGGAGCTTTCCGTTTTTAATGTAACTAATTTTTCTCGAGCTTGGGGTTTAAAACGCCCAAAGGAAGGCTTCTCTGTAGCGTTGTTTAACAACACAGCCTCTAAAGCTTTGGCTTTCTTTTCCAGAAAAGACGTCAACTGTATATATGTGGGAATTTCGATGGAAGCATGTTCGTCTTCAAAAGAAGCTCGGAGAGAGTCAGTTAATTTTTGAAGGAGTAAATTTAATAATAAGAAATCCCATTCTTCAACTGGAAATCCTAATTGACAGAATCCCTCTACATTTTCGTTAAAGAAATCTGTTAAATGTCTCACACTTTTAGCTGATTCATCTTTTAAGGATTTCAGATGAATAATTTCGTGGAAATATAAGGTGGCGAGGTATCGTTTATTCTGGTACCTTCCCTTTAACGTATTGTATGCGACAATATAATTTGCAGTTGTCATTGGAAGACCTTTCAGAAGGCTAAACGCTTCGCCTTTTAAGGAAGTAAGTAGATACTGAAATTTGACTATAGGCGTCATCGCTAGATTATCATGTATCAATGAATTAAATAAATCGAAGTAGGTGGGCCATTCCTTGTAATTTCCAGAAAAGGTAGGCAATGTTATTTCATGCAGTTTAGGTGACGACTGGGCAGAAGATGATTTCCAAGCGCGGATTAAGGCCTTTATAGAAAAGTACGCTGTATCAGCCTCTTTGCGGACTTTATCCTGATCCTCATAATCAGTCTCCTCAATTAAACCAATGATTTGATTGTGTAAAGTTTGAAATTGGGAATATATGCCTTCAATTTCTTCGGCTCTTGCCAGAAGAATGCTCCTCTGATCCTCATCTTCGATAGTTTTGCCAAGTTTGCGGGTTTCGAGGAGTCGGGTGTGAGGAAGATTACGTTTTAGGATAGTTTTCGAGAGTTTATCGCTCATTATAAAAGGTAAGAAACAAACGATAAATATAATTTCTTGATATAAAAATGTATGACAATAGGTATAGAACTCAATAAACTTCTTGATACAATGAACAACAAAAATGAAATACTTAAAGAAAGGTATAAGAGTATAAACCCAAATGGAAGAATAAAAGAAAATTTGAGTATAGACCCAAAATATTCGAACCAAAAAACACGGTTCTTTTAGGTGAAACCAGTTCTCGACCAGATGTGTTCGACTTGTGCGACTCGGATAAAAATACCATAAAAATGGCGTGCGGAAAAATCAAATTATTAATAATGCAAAATAAAAATTAATCGATAATCCCAGCATAGGAGCTCCAAAGGGATCGAGAGGATTGAAGAGATCCGGCTCGAAAGACCAAAATGTTCGCGCGATATAGGATCGGGATTAAAACCGGTTGTTCAAAGTTTTTATAATTTATATATTAGTCGGCCGTTCCGTATTTTATTCGTTATTGTTATTCAGTTGTTCTAACGAGTTGTTGTAGTTGACATCAAAAAGCGTAATAAATCGTTCCGTGTAATTTTCGTTAAAAAGTAGTTTCAATCGTGTTAATACACACGTTCGATAGAAGCACTTCGGCTTTTATTTGCTATTCGAAGAGATACTTCTACTTATTCTACAAGAACAGTAAGATTTTTCCTTTTTGACAGTTTTTTTCTAACACCCGCGTTTTTAAGTAACTTTCTATAAGCGTCTCAGATTTTTCCCGCGCCGGTCTCGACTATTTCTTAACATTTTTTGGTCCTTCGAGCCGGATATAACCGGAAGTGCGGAGAGAAGGCCGAGATTTTTTGAGACGTTTTGAGTATTTTTCGATTTTTCATTTTCGTTATTGTGTGTTTACGTTACCATGGCGACCGCTCGTGAAATTGACTTAAACCCGATTTTCGAACGGCAAAATGACATTCACGGGTTAATTTCTCGGACAATAGATAATTTGAAAAAGCTCGCGATCGCTAAACGTACTCGCGGGAACTTTCAAAGTCGTTTGGAACGACTTGAGACTAATTGGGATGAGTTTAATAATGCTCATAAACAATTAATTCAGTATCGCGACAAGTATTCGGATACGATATATTTCACCGAGGACATTTTTTCTGAATGTGAGGAAGCTTATTTCGATGCTAAGGGGACATTGCTTGATTTGTTAAATCCTCTTCCGCTGTCTCCGACCCCGGAAGTTGATACAAAACTAGTTTCAAACGTCAGTCATTCGTCATCGCGTTCGCGTCATTTACCGAAAATTGATCTTCCAACTTTCGACGGTAAATACGCCAATTGGGCTCAATTCCAGGACTTGTTTTCTACGATGGTCAATGACAATGAAGACCTTACCGATGTCGAACGTCTTCAATATTTAAAAATGAGTTTGACCGGTGAACCCGCTCAGTTATTAAAAAACATTTCTGTTACCGGTGATAACTTTTCAAGATCGTGGCAAATATTGATTGACCGGTATGAAAATCGACGGTTATTAATTGAGACTCAATTATCGATTTTATTTTCCGCGCGTGCCGTAAAGAGTGATTCTTCTAGCGAACTTAAACGTCTTGTCGGGGAAATTAAAGAAGCTTTCGGTGCCTTAAAAGTATTGAAATGTCCGATTCAGCATTGGGACTATATTCTCGTATATTTAATCGTACGAAAATTAGATACAGACGCCGTTAAAGAATGGGAGAGATCGATTGGAAATCATCGTGATCCGTCAACGTTCGATGAGCTTGAGGACTTTCTGATGAACCGTATTCACACCTTGGAAGCTGTCGAAAATCTTCAATCTAGCCGTAAAGTGTATTCCATTTCAACGGGTTCAAAGGTCTCTAGTGTGAAAGCTCATAATGCTTATTCTCCTGTAAATGGTTGTGTTATGTGCAACTCAGCGCATTACATTTCTTCATGTCCGGCTTACCTTTCAAAAAGCCCGGCAGAACGGTCGGTCTCGGGCGCCACCTTATGTTTAGAGAGTTAAGGAACTCTTTCTCCTTCAAGTAGCTTTTGGGGGTTACATTCGGAGATTCAGGGTATTTGAGAGAGGGTTAAAAAAAAAATAAAAACATGCGGTTCATAAATTAAGAAATAAAATCAAAATTTATTAATAATAAAAAAATCAACATAGGAGTTTACTTTATTTAAATATATAATCGGTAAATATCTGGCCTAGTGCAATCTTGTGGGACTCGTACTTCGGACGTAATTGATATAATTATTCATAAGGGAATAATTGTTCTGGATGAAGTGCTACGGAAAACTCGCGATAGCACCATGTCGGGAAGATGTTGCGGAAAACTCGCAGCAACACCAGGTCGGGGGAAAGTATTGCGGAAAACTCGCAGCAATACCAGGTCGGGAGAGTGTTGCGGAAAACTCGCAGCAACACCAGGTCGGGGAAAGTATTGCGGAAAACTCGCAGCAATACTAGGTCGGGAGAGTGTTGCGGAAAACTCGCAGCAACACCAGGTCGGGGAAAGTATTGCGGAAAACTCGCAGCAATAC